CTTCCTGCTCTATACAGCTGGGTTTATTCTCGACATTAGTGTATTTGCACCTGCTCACATCAGTTCTTCGCTTGCTGATTTTCTTCTTTTTCTTCTACCCTGAAGATGGAGGCGATACATTCCTCCTCCGAAACATCGGTTAACACAATATCTACACGGCGCCACATCCCAGAACACTGTTCTCTTCAAATATAACTGTCTACAATGCAATCATCAAAGAGCATCTTGCAAATCGCTGAGCTGCTCACGCAAAGTGTTCTACCTACTACCATGAAACTGATTACTTAACTAGTTAGTACCTCCTTTTTTTCTTTCTCTTGTCGCTGAATGTCAGCAAGACTACTGCCAGCTCCAGGTGTTTGTTGACTCCAGGGAGCACTTTTAGCCCGCTGCTGCTGTTCCTGTAGCCGACGCAGGGCCTCAGTCTGGCGACGCTGCTGCTCCAGCCTCCTCTCCTCTTCATCCTGTTGCTGTTTCTTGCGTGCCACCTCTTCTTCTAACCTGTAAACACAATGGTTAAGGTAAGAGTATCCATGTGACAAAATATCACAGTATGAACATCTATGGAGGAGTGGAGGTAACCCTCCACGTTCCAACCATGTTAATTAGGCCCCAACATTGGTTTGATCAAGATGACAAAGAAGTCTGCTGTGCGTAAATCAGTATTGCCACAACTGCCAACAGTGAGACATCTATCAGTGCATGAATGAATGTGCTCAACCATCATGCATGCACGCACACATATTCAAACAGCAGTATCAACACTCACTGTTTCTCACATACATCATTTGTAAATCTTCAAATAATGTCTCATACAAAAATTGGTGGTGAAATCCTTATTCAAAGAATCTGGGGGGAGGGGATGGTTTTCCTTACACTAAATCAAGGTTTTAACTAATGGTGGTTATGCAGTATTACATCAAGAAACTGTAATTCTCTTATAAGACTTAAAAAGTAAAGCTATCTCTGTACCAGGCCGTGAAGGGCCAAAGGATTGTGAGATGTTGAGGGTCCCAACACTATCTAGACAATCGGCTCAAAGATGGCGGTAAGGTTGTCAGCCTTACGCGCCGGCCGCACTTTACTCCCCAGGAAAATTATTTAATTAATCTCTGGTATTCATTTCTGTTAGAGGCTGAGTCAACCCCAGGGCCATTGTGCAGCTGGAAGGATTAGGTCAATTGAAAAAAA